TTTCTATGTTGGCTGCAAACCAATATAATCAACACAGTAAAGGAGGAGACTATATTTAAAAGAAGAAAAACTACCACAACAAGAGGACATAGTCTTAAATTAGAGGGACAAAGGTTTAAAAATAATATCAGGAAGTATTACTTTACTGAGAGGGTAGTGGAGGCATGGAATAGCCTTCCAGCTGAAGTGGTAGAGGTTAACACAGTAAAGGAGTTTAAGCATGCGTGGGATAGGCATAAGGCTATCCTAACTATAAGATAAGGCTAGGGACTAATGAAAGTATTTAGAAAATTGGGCAGACTAGATGGGTCGAATGGTTCTTATCTGCTGTCACATTCTATGTTTCTATGTTTCTATGTCTATCTGCAGCATCTGCAGTGAGCCCTATACTGATTTGCAAATAGTTGAAACTGCTTTACCTATCCTGTATCTCCAATGTTTTCAGTTCACTAGTTTAAAAAAATTGTGAAATTGGGGGCAAAGGTGTGCCTTTCACTTACTTACACTGTGCTACTCACGAAGGGAAGCACCTAATAGACCCTGTGACAGTTCAAAATAAGCTTTTCACTAGCCCTGCTAATGAGTGGGCAATTGGAAATCCTTGCCAGATCCAGTTTATTATAAAAGTAGCACTCATAGTCCATTAATGGGTTAAAGTAGTTTTTTACATTTTCAGTTAGAACTTGTTAAGCGGCCAAGTGGTTTTACTCTTGCGGTAAAAGGCTTTGGTACAGATGGAGCTCACCGCAGCAGAGATAATTATAGGGCACCAGGAGGATGATATAATTGTGAAAATAATGCAAGAAAGATTTGTTCCATCTGACTTACCAACATAACTTCTCAGAAGATATTGCTCCCAAACAAACATGCATATTAATTAAAAAACAATTAAAAAAATTAAAAAACAATTAATCCATTCTGGAGGTCAGAAAAAAAGTCAAAATGAGCTGGCATGGAAACCAACCCACAATGCAGAACACACCGTAAAAGGCATGCAATCGATGAAGCTCAGCACCCTACCTGTCCACAGCTTGAGAAATGCACCAAAAAGTCCCAAAACAAATGCAAACAATTTCCAGAATGGCTCCAGAACCTGATGCAAAAGGCGCTCCAACACCTCCACACTGGACGCCACGTGCTACCCACAGGCTCCAGCATGCAGGGGGCAGTGCTATAAACCTCCCAGGTGCAATGCATCCTGGGGAAACTTGCTTTGTATTGCGAAATGTTTTTTGGAAACCGGGGCATTATTTTCAATGGATTTTCATTTGTAAACCGAAAATTATGTTAACCGAGGCGTTTGTAAACTGAGGTCCCACTGTATCTCTCTTTGTATAATCAGTTTAGCAAGTGCTAGCCAGCCGTCACATAGCTTGACCCTCACACCGCCAAGGAGTTTTATCTGTTTGTCGGCTAATTGCTAGTGCTGCCACCGGACAGATAGTTCAGACTTTTAAAATATGCTTTTACAGATCCAGGCCATATTTTAACATTCAGACCCAAATTGTAGCCTGATCAACTACAGAGGGCAAATTCAGAGCAAAATCCGGACGTTAATAAATCTCATAAGCATTGTTTATATTTTACAGGCAGAATGGGCACGGGGATATTCGCCCTTTAGTAAATAGACCCAATAGATAATATGCAGGATCTGTTATAAGCTGTAGTTCTATACATTCTGTCTTTTGATACACCTGTACGCCAATGTCAGCTTCGATCTGAGTCCTGTGTGTATTTATCACCTCTATGTTACCTTCACTTACACCGCGTACTAACCCGGCCTAAAACAGACTCCCCTTGAATTGCTGGAACCTTTTATTTGTTTTTGCTATCTGGATTCCTAACTGAAACCTTTCTTTATCGGAATCCTGATTGCAGTGTGACACCTGTATATAATGCACCGGTATAAGTGAATGTTTGTCCATTTCTCTGTAAGGACGGAGCTGGTCCACTCAGTAGCCCATTCTGACCACAGGGTGTGGGATGCCATATATGACCCTAAATCATCTGGGAGAACTGTTTGGGTCTCAGGTCCATTAGCATCTCTTTAAATTGTGTTAATGACAAATTCCACTCCAGTAAAATGGCCATTACACCCCTGTAACAACTTAATCTAATGTTTAACTCCAAATATTTGAGTATTCAAAAAACGTAGCATATTACTGAGCTCAATCCTATGAAATTTGTTAAAGATGTATTGATGAATGGAGTGCCCCCTTTAACTGACAATATCTCAAAACAGATTGACATACCCCTCTCTAAACATTCGTAGTTTACAAGTCTCAGTTAAACCCTGAATTGAAACAAATTAAAATCCAAATTTTGGTTAAAGGACCACTATAGGCACCCAGACCACTCCATCTTAATGAAGTGGTCTGGGTGCCAGGTCCAGCTAGGATTAACCCTTTTTTCTATAAACATAGCAGTTTCAGAGAAACTGCTATGTTTATGTTAGGGTTAATCCAGCCTCCAGTGGCTGTCTCTTGACAGCCGCTAGAGGCGCTTGTGTGTATCTCATTGTGATTTTCACAGTGAGAAGACGCCAGCGTCCATAGGAAAGCATTGTGAATGCTTTCCTATGGACCGGCTGAATGCGCGCGCGGCTCCTGCCGCACATGCGCATTCAGCTAAAGAGGAGAACTCCCCGCCCGGCGCTGGATAAAGAGGTAAGTTTAACCCCTTCCTCTCCATCCAGCCTGGCGGGAGGGGGACCCTGAGGGTGGGGGCACCCTCAGGGCACTATAGTGCCAGGAAAATGAATATGTTTTCCTGGCACTATAGTGGTCCTTTAAAGTAGCTTATCAGTAAAAAAATCTTAAACTCAGTTATAACAAAAGTTGTTTTAGAGTCATTTAGAGTAATGAATCCTGTTAATGTCTCCATCGTATATTCCAGGGGTGCCCAAAAGGTGGATCCCCAGATGTTTTAAAACTTCAACTCCCATGATGCTTTGTCATTCTGACGCCATTCTGAATGCGTGCAAAGCATCATGGGAGTTGTTCTACAACATATGGGATCTATCTTTTGGGTGCCCCTGGTATACCAGAATCTTCAATTTCTTCAGACCAAAACAACAACTCAAAAAAAACCTTTGAAATAGATAAATTTCTAGAATTGCTAGTAACCTAAATAACTATAAAATGTCACAGTGCAATTTTTAAATAAAGGCACATTTTAAATTCCCAGTAACTAACGATGGCGATATTTTAAAGCACAAGGAATATCCGAAATTTGTTGGTGAACACATTATTCTTTAGTAAATTATTCTCAACTGAAACTGAAAAATAAAAAAATTAAAATGTTCTAATACCTGCCACTTCAGCAATCTCTGTGTAAATGTTGCTGAATTCCAAATGAAAGGATTTGAGTCAGCAATTCCACAGCTGGAAAGGAATGACCTTCATTTAATCATAATCTTAGCCTAAAAGCTAAACTGCATGTAGAAAGGATAGCGAGGTTTTCTACCACATCGATAGGATGCATGGGTGCAGCTATGTACACAGAGTAATGTAATGTATTTACACATGCAATAGGCTCCGTTTATTGTAACATGAATTTTAAATCATCTGAAGTGTTCTTCTTTTCAGGATTTTTGTTCTGCTCTAGATATAATGTGCCCCCACTTTACCTACTGAAATGGGGGGCTTATTTCTTGTAGTAACAGCACAATCATATCTTACAGAGGGGCTGCCAGTACTGAGATTTTTACACAAGCTAAAAGCTAGTTAGATTTTTAAAAAATTATTGGTTGTTTCATTAATAATAGCTGTTTAGTTTTCATCTTTAGTAGCTGTTGGTTGTTTTGTTAATAGTATCTGTTGGTTGTTTTCATTAATAGTAGCTGTTGGTTGTTTTGTTAATAGTAGCTGTTGGTTGTTTTCAATAATAGTAGCTGTTGGTTGTTTCGTTAATAGTAGCTGTTGGTTGTTTTCATTAATAGTAGCTGTTGGTTGTTTCGTTAATAGTAGCTGTTAGTTGTTTTCATTAATAGTAGCTGTTGGTTGTTTTGTTAATAGTAGCTGTTGGTTGTTTTCATTAATAGTAGCTGTTGGTTGTTTCGTTAATAGTAGCTGTTGGTTGTTTTCATTAATAGTAGCTGTCGGTTGTTTCGTTAATAGTAGCTGTTAGTTGTTTTCATTAATAGTAGCTGTTGGTTGTTTTGTTAATAGTAGCTGTTGGTTGTTTTCATTAATAGTAGCTGTTGGTTGTTTCGTTAATAGTAGCTGTTGGTTGATTCATTAATAGTAGCAGTTGGTTGTTTCGTTAATAGTAGCAGTTGGTTGTTTTCATTAATAGTAGATGTTGGTTGTTTCGTTAATAGTAGCAGTTGGTTGTTTTCATTAATAGTAGCTGTTGGTTGTTTTGTTAATAGTAGCTGTTAGTTGTTTCATTAATAGTAGCTGTTGGCTTGTTTTCATTAATAGTAGCTGTTGGTTGTTTTGTTAATAGTAGCTGTTGGTTGTTTCGTTAATATTATCTGTTGGTTGTTTTCATTAATAGTAGCAGTTGGTTGTTTTCGTTAATAGTAGCAGTGGATTGTTTCATTAATAGTAGCTGTTGCTCCAGAGGGTCTGCACTCACAGTCACAGTCATGTAATATCCACAAGGTAAATCATAAATAGTGCATCTTTATTACATATGAAAGTATAACATGACATCAAATAAGCAGCAAACTTCATAAATAACAGGTCATACAAAATGCCAAAATATAGAATAAGTAGTAAACATACCAGAAAAAAATAATCACCAGTCCAAAAATAAAACCTGTGTCTGCTGTGGGTGGAGGGATAATAAAGATAGGTGAAATACCTAAGAGGGCTCTCTAGACGTGAAACGCGTACAGAGCCCTCTTGGGTGTTTTACCTATCTTTCTTATTCCTCCCACCCCCTTCAGACAGGCACAGGGTTCCTCAACGCTGGTTCAGGCTCCACCTCCGCTCCTCCTCCATGGACATTGTGTTAGTGGGAAAGCATTATATAGTCACCTAACTACCTGGAAGTCGCTCTGCATGAGGACATCCAGGGTCCGATTTTTCCCCATATTAAAGCATTTTTAATATGGGGAAAAATCAGACTCTGGATGTCCTCATGCAGAGCGACTTCCAGGTAGTTAGGTGACTATATAATGCTTTCCTATGGGGCAGTTCCTAATGTAAGTGCGGCGCTCGTTGCGCATGCGCATTAGGTCCACCCCACTAACCCGATGTCAACGGAGGAGGAGCAGAGGTGGATGCTGAACTTTCCCGGCAGAGGTGCATTAATTCAATAGATCTCTATGAGGAGATGCTGATTAGCCATGGTGGTGTTTGGCTTTGCCCCAAACCCTTCTTTTGTGATCGTGATTGGCTTATTGTGATAATTCTGATTATGTTAGCCAAGGAGGTGGATGAGGGGTGGGGCCAGATACGAGGAGCCCCGAGCGGCACTGGAAAAAGGTGAGTAAATCATCTCTCTAGCCTGAGGTAAGGACGACTGACCACCTAAACTGTGGGTTTAAAACTATAGTGTCTGCAATACAGGCTTGTGTACCTGGCAAAGCAGTACCGCTTTAATTTAGAATGTCTTATCTCCTGCTCTATTAACAGCCTGCTAGAGCCTGCATCAGCGTCCTGTTTGTGAATAAATTTCAACCAAGTGAGTAGGAGACAAACAAAAATTCTAAAAATTCTCACATTGTGCTGTGAGATCTGTTTGAAAATAAAAAAACATTTTTTCATGCAGGCTCCTTCAGTTGCAGCCAGGGGAGGTGTGGCTAGGACTGCATAAACAGAAACAAAAGTGATTTATTTCCCAATTGGCAGAGAACTGAGCAATGTCAAACAAGACAACACGATGTAGGAATGGATTGTGTGCAGTATGTGATGTTAATGCTCTGAGCACCTTATTGATGTGGAGTAAGGAAAAAAGGCTGACACTGGCCCTTAAATGGAAAAACGTTGGATTTAAATGCTGTGCCAATATAGAGCACTTTCAATTTAAGTGCATCCTGCTATGTGTATGTGAAATACTGGGTGGCATGTGAAGACTTTCGCTTGAGTTTCCAACACTTTACAAATGCTGAGTGTACAGATTCAGCTGTCCCTAAAATTCAAAACATTTGGCATCACATCTGGTGTAATCCTGTCTCTGGGCGGCAGACTTCCAGGGTCCAGCGGGTGTAATACATTGCAGATCGCTTTTAGAAGGGAACATCGAAGAGATTCTCATTAATCCTTTGAAGTTTAAACTGGCAGGACAGGCTTCAGAGACATTTACATAATCCCTTCTCTAGCAATCGCCTGTAATCCCAAAAAATGTTTTCTAGGGGATGAAGGGTTAATTTTATTCTTGCACAGAGATTGGTAGAGAAAGACTACGAGTTCTGTGTAACATTCCAGAGCAACACGTTCCTAACATCTGCTTGCAGAGCTTGTAACTCCTGAGGTTACACAAAGATTGTCTTCAGATGAACCATTGGTGGGGATGAAGGAGAAAGGATACATTTTTATATATCAAAGATAATGCATTAGAAACTGTAATTTGAGAATAGAAAGAATAAATAGATAAAAAGTTACTCACCATGAATGTGTATTGTAGGAGCAAATCCACAGCTTTTGCTAATTTTTTTCTTCATTGTCTTCAACAGAGGAAATGGGTGAGATCTCCCAATCCTGGTCCTTCATTTGGTTTCTATAAAATCGCTCAATGTTTCTTCTAAGTACAACAAGCCAGTGTTCAAAGGCATGCATGTGTGCAATAAAGGATACTTATTGCCAGTCAGTAATTGGAAAAATGGAGGACACCGGGTCTAATGCTCCATTTATTTTTTGGAATAAAATAGTTTAAACAAGTATTAGTATATGAGTATTTATTATATATAACCATGCAAACTCCATAAAACCAGATCTAATCTTCATTATTACTGTATCTCTGTGATTGCAGAACTGTTGGCCTCCTCTTCAAATAAAATGGAACTCCGCAGTGTCAAAGTTCTACTGCTGGATCATAACAGAAGATCTTCATGGGATGCTACCCTAAGGAATGTCCTCTGGGAGATGTGTTCTAGATATGGCATTGCAGATACCTGTGTCAGTGAGCGCATGTGGTTTATTCACTAAATCCTGAATGTTGTAACTAGTTAATTAGATACCTAGAACAAAATGAGAAATATGAAAACTGAACATTTGGTAATATGAACAAAGGTACGCAAGGCATCATATTGTCTTAGAAAATGTTTGGTGAAATGTCAAAATACATGAACACTCCAGACAAATAGAGCACTTCAGCCTGCTGTTATTTTTTTTTCTGACAGTTAATAAAAGTACAAATTTCAATGTAAATCTGCACTTTTATAAAGGGAGGGCAGAAACACCTCCGTGGCTGTAACTCTGACGTCTTGCTACGCTACCATTCTCTCCACAGAGAGTTAGCGTGTGCCTGCCTTCCCTACTTCTCACTGACATGCATTACAACTCATCGAGAAGCATTGGAAAGCTGCGCTCACACGCATGTGTGCCCTTGCAGCTTTGGCATAGATTCTTCTCAATGAGAGTCCTCTGACAGGCCAGTTACCGGCACAGATTCTTCTCAATGAGAGTCCTCTGACAGGCCAGTTACCGGCACAGATTCTTCTCAATGAGAGTCCTCTGACAGGCCAGTTACTGGCACAGATTCTTCTCAATGACAGTCCTCTGACAGGCCAGTTACCGGCACAGATTCTTCTCAATGAGAGTCCTCTTACAGGCCAGTTACTGGCACACATTCTTCTCAATGACAGTCTTCTGACAGGCCAGTCACCGGCACAGATTCTTCTCAATAAGAGTCCTCCGACAGGCCAGTTACCGGCACAAATTCTTCTCAATAAGAGTCCTCCGACAGGCCAGTTACCGGCACAGATTGAAAGTCTGTGTCTTGGAAAGAGGGGAAAACTTGCAAAAGCTGCGGTCAGCAGGTCTGCAGTTTTTGTAAGCTGTTTTTCCGTACACCCCCCAAAAACAAGCAGAAAGAATACATTTATATTTTATGTGGGGTGTATTAAATAGTTAAAAATCAAAACGTTATTGGAGTGTACCTTTAAGAGGACCTTTTAACAATCCTTTTTGAATAAACCATTTTCGAGTCCCGTTAGGGCTCCTCACTTTATTTGAGATATTCTGAATTTATGGTTTGTTAGGACTACGACCAAAAATCCAACCTTTATCCCCACTCCTAAAAATTAATCAGGTTAAAATAATGTCATTATGGGTTTCTGGAGACATCACACAAGACTAAAAATTGAGTGGTTTATAATTTTCAGAATCCTGAGATGACATGGTATTCTTATAACATACGTTCCAACATTGGGAAGCCCCAACACTGGAAGGTATGAGACCGGGAAGGGTGAACAGGCCTGACAGGGGGCATTGCTAATTACAATGCACATGATGGAGCAAAGGAAAATGGGGGCCATCCCATTGAAAGGGCCCTCTTGGTCCCCAACCTGCTTGTGCCCAGTACAGCACACACGTGTCTAAAGATGCCCTCGCACTGTGTTGTTTGAAGAAGTTCCTTGGTGTCCACAGACACGGGACAGGACCCTGAAATCAGGACTGTCCTGCTAGAACTGTTTGGTGGACTGTCAGAATGTAGGTTTAATGCTTAATAATATGGTTAGTGTATTGTAAGGATTCGTATTTAGTGTATTGGTTAATGCTTAGTTTAGTGGTCCAAGGACTTGTATGTGCTCCTTAGTACCCCCTACCCCACAATGAAGCTGTTCTATCCCACAATGCATTGAGTGTATACAAACACTTAGAATTCAGGAAGGAGCGTGTGAGACTTGGGGTCTTGATGGCTGAATGTGCAGCTGCCATATCCAGGTGGAAGAAGTTACCTTTTATATATTTTATTATCTTTGATGATACTTTCACAGTCACAATATATAGATTAAATGTTCCCTATCAGAAGATGGACTGCCTATGGACACCATTTGATGACAAGTCCATATCAAGGAGGCTAGCTAAAAGACTCTCTGTGGAAACCAACACTGACTTTTAATATGCTACAAAGTGATCCAGTGACAGACGCTGAGAGAACCTCTCCATCGTAGCAATCCGGAATTTATATAATGCTTACTGATTCTGGGGGTGGGGGATACTGATACAGTATCTCATCCTCAAAAGGAATAAATACAGGCAACACTCTAATAGTAAGGATGGTATATTTACTGGTAGCTGAACCACCCCATAGATAGTGAGACATTTCAGCTCAACAGAGCCTTAATCATGCATCCTTCCTTACTATTGGCTGCTATTATTAGTTATGAAGCTTTTACTGGTGGGTCCAGCGATGTCCACCTGACACAGCATCCTTCCTTACTATTGGAGTGTTGGCTGCGATTATTCGTTTTGAACATTTTACTGGTGTGTCCAGCGATGTCCACCTGACACGGCATCCTTCCTTACTATTGGAGTGTTGGCTGCGATTATTCGTTATGAAGATTTTACGGGTGGGTCCAGCGATGTCCGCCTGATGCGGAGCACGTCCACTGTGGATGGCCGGAGCATTTACACGGCATCAGTGTGCAGTTCTTTGTTTATTTTGGACAGTATCTGATCCTCTGATTCCTCTGAATGTTCCATTTTCTGGTCCAGCTGTTATCTGTTATCCAGACCTTGCTTAACCCACATGTGGCTAGTTAATGGCACTTTGAAGAAAACTAGTAATTGCTATAATAAAGACCTTAACATAGTTTGTGGCATTTACATGCATCTAGACTACAATTCCTATCATTCCCATTCCAGCTAATGAATGGTGCCTTCATCATACCCCCTTCATGAAATACTCTTCTCACTACTTCTACCCTGATTCCTATATCTCCCAACAGTCCTGGATTCAGCAGGACAATCCGGATCTAGGACCCTGATATGGCTTTCCCTCTGGAGCTGAGACTTGCTGGTCTGCCCCCCAGTGGTATCAAGCCATAATGATTTTATGTAACTTTCTATATATTATGTGCCATGAAATTTATTAAAAACATATCAAATGTTTGGTTTGCGTTTTCCTTTAAAACTCAAATAATTGCTATTTCTATACCCAACTACCCCCTTGCAAAATGTCATGTAACAGAAACC